TTTCAACATACAACTGCACCTTCTGCTAGCAGGATATTAGTAAATTGTTCATCATACTACCACAATGATTCAGCTTCATATAGGAACATGTACATACCTTGATATGGAGAGTGCACTCCTGTACTCGATGTTCCATCGAAATTTTGTGAAAGCTTTAGTATAGGTTTAGTTATATGTAACTTTCTACTAACGTAAAAAAACATCAGAAGAGGATAGGCTGGGAAAGTGAAAAAACAAAAACAAACCTTATTTCTGAATTTACTAAAACCTTTAGTTCTCCAATGCTTTTCTCAATAAAGACTGGTCAGCTGAGTTCCATTCAAATAAGACCTGCTCATATCCCACTGAAGAGCCCTTGCACGGAGTTAAGTGAGGAGTCCCGCGTGTTTTCGCGTCGTCGCCCTAAATCGAGCCATTTGCCCCGTTGTTGTTATCTCAATTACGTGGCACTTGATGCGTCTAGCTAACTACGTATTACCAGTTTTAGCGAGCGCTCGGCCGGTTTTCACTCCATCCTTAAAAGGAGTCGGCCGAGCGCTTCTGCCCCTGCTAAAACCATCATGGAACTCGTGGACCTTCAAACGAGGGTGAAAGCGTACCGCTTTGTGGCTTATTCTGCTGTCGCCTTTTCAGCCATCGCAGTACTTTCCGTATCTGTTACACTACCTTTGGTCTACAGATATGTTCATCATGTAAAGTCAAATATGCAGAATGAAATCGTTTCTTGTCGAGTAAGCAAATCTAGCAAACACTTCTGATTTCTATTTCGTGCATCTGCTAACTCCATTCGTTCTAGGGTGCTGCAAAAGACATTTGGTCGGAAGTGCGCGAGTTGAAAATGGCAACACAGCCAAATAACAGAACTGCTCGTCAGGCAGGATACAAAGAAGGTTCAGTGGCTGGCGGTGGAGCGCAACCCAACTGTGAGTCATGTTGTGTCAGAGGAGCGCCTGGTCCAGCAGGAACACCGGGAAAAAACGGAAGGCCGGGAAACCCCGGAGCACCAGGAACACCTGGAAGTCCTGGAAGACCTCCGGTGCAGCCATGTGAACCTGCAACCCCTCCACCATGTAAGCCTTGTCCACAAGGGCCTCCAGGACTTTCGGGGCCGCCTGGTCCACCAGGAGATGCAGGCGGACCAGGTCCAGGTGGACAACAAGGAAGTGAGGCAGCACCAGGAGAACCTGGGCCAAAAGGACCATCAGGACCTCCAGGTAATAATGGAGCACCCGGTGCACCAGGTGAACCCGGAGCAAACGCAGAGTCAGAAGCACTTGTACCTGGAGAGCCTGGGCCAGGTGGGGAGCGTGGACCTCCCGGCCCACCGGGAGAGAATGGACAACCCGGTGAAGATGGTGGTGCAGGGAATCCCGGTCCTAAGGGACAACCTGGAGAGCCCGGACCGCCGGGAGCTGATGGAAAGCCAGGAGATGGAGGTCAAGCAGGAAAGGCTGGAGGTCCTGGAGAAAAGGGAGTGTGTCCCAAATACTGTGCCATCGACGGAGGAGTATTCTTCGAGGACGGCACCCGGCGGTGAAGGAGAGACATCTAACTATGTCAATAAAGATTTCAATTTTAAATACACACAGCACGTTTTGCCCAATGTTTCAATTTTTCAAGCTCCTGTCTCTAGTGGGAAGAACTCCGATTCCACTATCACAAAAGCTTATCAACCGAATCTTTCAACATGGCTTAATGATAGTATACGTTTTTTATCATTGTATTCACTTAGTTTTGGAAACATGAACAAGTAGATTGAAAGTGGAAAAAATGCAATTGTTGTTGCCGCCGAAACTCCGTTAAAGGCATTACGCCCTTGAAACAGACAAATTGCTCTGTTTACAGCTTATAAAACTGCTTTTGCGTAAGACCGCACTTCATGCTACCAATTTATTTCAAATCGCCTACAACAGATATTTCAATCCATTCACGCATTTCCAATAATCAAACATCAAGCACAATTTAGTAACTGACGTTGTAATTTTCCGCAAAGCGAAACTATTTGATTTGATCACGTGGTCTTCTAGTCAATCATTGATCCATGAGAGAGTCATTCAGTCTTTTCGACTTTCTAATCGAGTTATGGGGTAAGCACAACTGAAGTGCTCAATTTCTTTATATTGTTAGAAACTCAGTAATGTTAGCCCACTTGGCCTCTCGACGAGGTGCAAACGTTATTATACCTTAAAAGCTAGTATTTTCATGGACTGTTATACCCAGTCCGCCTTATCTTACCCGCAACATCAAATATGAGAAGCCCAATGCCAGTATAGACAGGTCATTATAAACTTAAGAACAAAGCGACACGACTGTGAAGTGACGAGAACACTTTTACTAGTAAACATTGTTGCATTTGCAATTTGTACGAATTACGAATCACATAATGTAACTGTGTAAAGGTGTGGGAGCTAGTTTTTAATTGTTTATGATTCATCAATACTTCCGTTGTCTAAAACGGAATGGAAAGAAATGACATTGCTAT